TATTTCGTAAATAGTCTTGCTTTCTAGTGTTTTAGTTTATCTAACATTGTTTTATGTTAAAAAAAGCTATTAACTTTGTCCGACCTTCTAAAACCCATAATATATGTGATCCATGATTGTCAATGCCGCGAGATATAGTGGGGAGAATTTTCCACTCTTTATGACTTGCTTCTGTGATATGCGTCTCAAATAGCTTCTGGCAACTAAATTCAGCTCAAAGCCGGAGAATGGACAGAGACGGAAAAATGGCTTTTTATAACCAGTCCTTTCGTGTAGATGAAGCTCGACAGCCTAGAAAGGCGGTTCATCTAGTGGTAGGAATATGCCGATTTTAAAACTCCAATGATTTGTGTTGATGTCCAACAACAGAAAAAGGCTCTAGAAGTAAATCTAGATTGAAAATCCGGAGTGGAACATTGAAGGCGGTTGGCTGTCAACACCGGCAAATTTCTGGCACCTTATCTATTCGGCAACACTATCCAATCGATCAACATTTTAAGCTACTCACGGATCGGAAATCGTTCGCATTTATGTTCAACCTTAAAACATCAATCAAAGTGCTATTAAGGGTGTGGAGATGGTCTCCTTAAGCTACATAAGGAGTCAAAGTGCTATTAAGTGTGTGGAGATGGTCTTCTTAAGGAGTCAAAGTGCTATTAAGGGTGAGGGGCTCAACAACCTGTGGAGATGGTCTCCTTAAGCGACATGAGAAAATATGTCACCAAAGCGTGATGAGAATGCTCCACATGCTTCGAATTAAAAAAAAACTGTAGGGGGGCGTAAAGACCTGCCAAATATGTGTGGAGCTGAGGCCTAGATTCTAAAAGCCTAGACGGGAACAGTTATAAAGGTCAGTCAACCTTTTTGAAAGACTTGCCTTGCGTTTTAAGGGACCACTCTCGTCCACAACGAGTAATAAGTACCTACTAACAATTATCAACGCGTAATCTTCGCCATTCCCTGTGATTTGATCCCCCTGCTCTCTTTTTGCCGTCTTTGAATTACCTGCTAACACCCACTCAGACTGGCAGACCACATTTATGTCAGATCATTTTAAGCAATTTTTACGTGAAAAAGGAATAGCCGTAAGGAGGACAACAGCTTACAACCCTCAAGGTAATGGCCAATGTGAAAGGTACAGTAGTATAATATAGAAGTCAATACAGTTTCTTGCTCCTAATTATGGGTTCTCGATAGGATAAGTCCCTACCCTGAGATTCTATATTCTATTACAACATTACTATATACGGCAACTAATTCCACTCCATATGAAAGTTTCTTCTCCTTCCTGCGACGAAGCTATACTGTACATCATTCTCATCGTGTCATTCACAACTTGGGATTATGCTACTGAGACGCCATCCGCGCCAGAGCGAGGAGGAACTGCTTACGGCTAAAGTAGAGCAATAAGAGACAAACCTCCAGTACGCACGAGTAGACAATCCAGACGGGAGACAAGAGACTGTCTCTCTAAGTGATCTGGCCCCAGCCGAAACAGAAGCTTGTCTTGTAACTCGAGAGAGCAAGTGACGATTCCATTGACAGCACTCCCTGGTCGCCACACGAGGATTACCTAGAGACCATGAAACTCATGTTACGACCTTTGCTTTGACGAACGGTGAAAAGTTCGAGAGAACAGCTGTTGTCCAAGCGTTGTGAGTATGGCTAAACCCCTGAAGACATGCTCAATCATGCTCCTAGGAGAAGAAGGCCCCGGATGTGGTTCTGGATCTGTGCTAATTAGCTTCAATTACTGGTACGAAAAAATCCTCAGAGAATCTTCAAGGAAAATTGAATTTAGTCAATCAATATCATCCTGTGTGGGCTATTGTATAATTAATTTATCGCAAAAATGCAGTATGTAGTATTAGTATAACTTAGTACTCTCATACAATAAGTGTAGCTCATGAGTTCGTTTAATTCAGAATGTAACAGGCTAAGTTACTGGGGGGGGGTCTTTAAATGATAAAAAAAGCAAGAGGGAATTTGTAACCCTTGATAACAATTACAAGGATTCAGAGATAACAGACCGAATTACGATCTCTCTTTTTCTCTCTCCTCCTTCTCTCTCTCTTTGTCTTTGTATATATATATATATATATATATATATATATATATATATATATATATATATACTGGACTCTCCGGTCGTTTTCGACGTGTGAAGATCACAACTCATTTCTTAGAACCAACAGCGAGATTACCCGCACATATTTGATTATAGTGGTGAAGGCATGTGCAGAATCAACTACACGTATGGGAGGAACCGAATGCAGAGAATTGGTGCAAAATATACCATAAAGTCTCCAAACCACAATTAGCAGGTTTTGAATCCACAGTTGTCCTTCTCCTAGCACGGTTGACACCCAATCGGCCCTGCTATTTACCGATAGGGAGATAAATTCCAACGTTTCCCAAGAATGTGAATTTAATGAATTCGACGGGAATTCAAAATCGGCTCTCCGATTCCTCAGTCTGAGCTGCAATCCATTCCTTTACAGTACCTCGTTATATATTAGTCATATGTATGATTGTAAACTACATCTGACAGCAAGACCTCTGATCTGGAATGGAATATGATATATTTTATTGTGAAATGACCAACACTACATTTTCTGAAGTTGACGTCATACAATTCCGTTCAAACTATTTAGTTTTCGCTATTAAATATCCCGTTCATAATAACGTTCGAAATAAAATTCATATGCATCTTAACAAAAACAACGAAGAGGGAAGAACTTTCATGGCATTAATTCATATGATATCCCACAATTTCTCAAATCAAAGTTTATTCCAAAATATAACCTCAACATAAAACACACACATCACCACATCTAGTAATTAGGTTTCCACAAACATGTATATGCCCAAAAGCTGGGTATTATCTCGCATATATTCGATTGTGAAAGCAGAATAACATATATCATATTTTTTATATGTATCATATATTTATAGAAATGAAAAAACAGAGAGAAGAAAAAAACTATAATTAGCTGGCACGTTTTGTTCTCGGAAGGACTTTATCAGACAGTTTAGGATTTATTTTGCAGCAAACGTTTATATCCAATGGCGAGGATATTATTTAAATTAAATTTTTAAAATTTGTGGACTTTCATGAATGTTCATCAAGTGGCTGAAAGTTCAGTGAAAGTATGTGAAGGACGCAATGTGACATAATTCAAAGTCTGACAAAAAATAAAGTGCGCGAGTAAAAAGCAATTTTTTTTTAAAAAACATTGTTTCGATTGAGATTAGATTGTTATTGTATGTGGCTATATGTTCAAAGGCATGCGTTAAGAGATTTAGACGTTTTCTTTCGATTTTTCAACATGTTTATTGTTATGTATGTTGGCTTGTGTAAGTAGTAATTTATTAAGGTCAGATTGGGGAAAAACGAGGCATAGTTTTATATTTTGATAATATTCGAGAATTTTCGTTCCGAGAAAAGACTTTTTCTTTTGATGAGTGTGGCATTTTTAGCTCAAAATTGTGGTAGATTATTTTCTGGTTATGATTAGAGTGGGTGTTTTTAGTTCTGATTAGATCCCTTGGAGTTGAAAGTGGTTGTGCCTATTCGGATGTTGTCTAGATGAGATAAGTTGTTTTGGATAGTGGATGTTATGTGGTTGGTAGTTAGAATTATGTGTCTTTTTTTTTACTTTATTAATGTGGATAATGTTGTTTTATTTTTGTTGCGGTACTAAGTACCTTTGATGTTTTCAAAGATCGTCTTCAGGAATAAAATGCAAATTTATTGCAACTGCCATAAAATCTCCATTTAAAAACACGCGCACACGCTATGTAATTATTTTCAACTTTTAAATCGAATTTATCTTGGATATATATATATATATATATATATATATATATATATATATATATATAAATTGAAGTCAACAGGCCTAACGATTGCATCTAGCATAAAACAGCCTGTCACCTCTATGTGTTGACGTCAATTTTCAATTATTATATTATTATATTACACGCTCTATCTCTAATATTGAGCAATGTTATCCCATAAATATAGCACACCTTAAGAGTATATTTTTCTATATATATATATATATATATATATATATATATATATATATATATATATATATATGACGCTTTGAAATATGTCTTATGCAAAATTGATCCCACATAATAGACCCAAAGACAATGTAAAATGTCAAGTTTATATATATTGCCGAAACGCTCTACTAATGACTGAAATTGCTCTTGAAGGGCTTCCATTCACGTTGCTTCCGCATCATTGTAAAAATACGTTACCGCTAATCTATCATTAACACTGGTGTTGAAAATTCAGCCAGATTCTCAAGTATTAATGATTAGTGGGGCTGTGAAAACCTTCAAGGAAGAGGAATTACTCTCCGGTCGACGGTTGTGGGTTGATACTAATAAAGAGATAGAAGATCTTGTTGCAACGCAGTCTCCTTATCTCCTGTGCATGCAGCCGCCAGAACGGTGTAACAGAAGCAACTGATTTGGCGAAGCATAGGCGATAGATTTTTCGGATAAACTCAATCTCGAAGCCAAGTGCGGATCCTCCACTCTCTGATATCTTGGATATAGAAGACATGCCTCTCAAGCACAGCCATCTCTAAAGCGCCATTGCCTGAAACAATATCTTTATTTATATCTACATATATGAGTGAGTACAGAAATGTCCTCGGTTCAGCCTGAACACAAATCAGTATTCATATGTTTGGTAATTTAGATATTGATTTTAGGAAGTGGGTCAACGCAAAACATACAGACATACATATATATATGTTTTGTAAGCATGTATTTATTTCTATATGTGTATATCCCTTTAGTTATAGATACTCTGAAATTATTTTGTTCAAAATTTTGAAAGGAATCAGGTTATATTCAGAGTGCTTCTAAAGCCTGTAGGGATCTGAAAAAGAAAATAATTTATCTCCAATAAAGAGCAATGTAAATTCTTAATCAGACAGGATCGTCTAATCTATCTAGCTAGCTAACTAGCTAGCTAGCTTAATCTCTTCATTATCTATATATCTATCTATGTATCTATCTTTTTCTCTTCATTATCTATCTATCTATCTATCTATCTATCTATCTATCTATCTATCTTTATAATCTATCTTTTTTTCTTCATTATTTATCTATCTATCTTTTTCTCTTCATTATCTATCTATCTATCTATCTATCTATCTCAATATCTTTATAATCTATCTTTTTTTCTTCATTATCTATCTATCTATCTATCTATCTATCTCAATATCTTTATAATCTATCTTTTTTTCTTCATTATCTATCTATCTATCTTTTTCTCTTCATTATCTATCTATCTTTTCTCTTCATTATCTATGTATCTATCTATCTATCTATCTATCTTTTTTCTTCATTATCTATCTATCTATCTATCTATCTATCTATCTATCTTTTTTCTTCATTATCTATCTATCTATCTATCTATCTATCTATCTTTTTTCTTCATTATCTATCTATCTATCTATCTATCTATCTATCTTTTCTCTTCATTATCTATCTATCTATCTATCTTCTTCTCTTCATTATCTATCTATCTATCTATCTATCTTCTTCTCTTCATTATCTATCTATCTATCTATCTATCTTTTTCTCTTCATTATCTATCTATCTATCTATCTACCTTTTTTCTCTTCATTATCTATCTATCTATCTTTTTTTCTTCATTATCTATCTATCTATCTATCTACCTTTTTCTCTTCATTATCTATCTATCTATCTTTTTCTTTTCATTATCTATCTATCTATCTATCTATCTATCTATCTATCTATCTATTTATCTTTTCTCTTCATTATCTATCTATCTATCTATCTATCTACATTAACTTTCATTCTTGCGATATTCTTTTGTTCGCTTTCGCCTTCAGTTGAATATTTTAATTTTTTTTTTCAAATGTGTTTTCCTCCAAGAGTAACGTTTCTCAAGTCAATTATTCTTGGCATCTTCTTCTTTAGCCTTTAGAAGTTGACTCTTTCTTTTACGTTCCCCAAAGCAAAGACAAACAAAATCATTGGAATCGAAAATCTAGAACCAAGGGAAGAAACTCTTTGTTCTAGAAGCTTTAATTCTTTTGATATTTTTCTTTCTTTTTCTAACGTTTGTTTGCATTCTTCGCTTTGATAATATTTACAAAACTTTTATTCTGCTGTAAAAGTTTCAGACAAAAATATAAAAACGCAAAAGAAGACATATTTGAAACAACTCAAAACAACTACAGTCCCATTTATGCATTTAGGCAGAATTAACCCTTTGATGCCAAAAATGAACATTGGCTTTCAAAGCATTTTGTGGTTCTATCGATTCTCTCTTTCGTGTAACAAGAAAAGCAAAAAATTTAAGGCAGACGTTAAATATTTTATTCAGAAAATTTTTATTCCAAGATATGTTTCTGATAAATAGAATGGTAAATAAATAGAAAAAAGTTAAGTCAGCTATATAAATGGGAAGAACAGAAAAATATATTCATAAAAGCAAAAGTCCTATAATTGCAAACATTGCGGACAATTAAGTCATTTTGAATATTGTTAAATAAATAGCAAATATAGAATCGCCTGTGCAGCGAATAGATGACATTAGATAAGGATCGGTACTATGAAATATTTAAGATTTCTTTTATATTTTTCTTTCTTGTGTGCACTTTTTGATTTTTATTTTGATCCCAAAATCGACTAATGCTAAAGATACGAATTAGCCAGTTGCCAAAAATCGAAAGGCCGAAATATTTAGCAAGATTAACTTCTGTTGGCAAACAATCACAATCATATGATATCCAGTGAGAATGACTATCTTTACACCGGCGAATGGTATGCGTTATTATCTTGTTTGACATCACTACAAGAGCGAACATGACCTTTCATAGAAGCACAGGTTGGAAGTGGAGTTTGTATCGAACACATTCCAATAAACGTTACTTCTTCACTACAAGCTTCCATATATTCTCCTTAGAGAAACAGTTTATAAACGAAGTAAACGCGTTGAACTAAATTGAAAATAGTATTGTACATTATGACAAATATATGGACAGTAACAATTGCGTACACGCACGGTCAATTGTATTTGGACTCTCATATATACACACTTCTGTACACCACTAAATATGTAAGTGAATAAACTAAATATTTCTTTTAACAAATATTTTACCAAGAGTATTTACTTCTGCCTAAGTTCTGAATATTAATGTCACAGATCAGACATTATACAAATTTACTGTATTTATCTGCCATTTATACACATTTGTTTGGAAAACAACGAATGATACTTTTTTTTCTATGGCATTCATGTAACCCCCAGCATTTGGCTCTACATCTTACGGGATTGAAGCCTTTGGACTACTATTAGTGAATTTAATCGCGATGAAGTCCACCTATTAGAGGCCGACTTGTGTAACCTTGGCAAGCATCGAAGAAACAGCTTGGAACACTGTCGCTTTATAGGTCGCATAGACGTCATGACATGGCTGAAAAGAAGGCATTTACAAAGAGAATATTTACAATACCACTGCCGGCTTAAAACAGAAATAAAGAAAATAAAAAAAAACACAATTACACTAGGCAAAAAGTGTAAAATCGTGTTTTGTCGTATATATATATCAGGAATTCCACATCGGAATCTATATGATTCTATTACGTTAGGTTTTTACGTTATATACAGGATTATGGAGAAAAATAAAAGCAAAACATATTTCTGATAAAGGATGTTACATTATAATACCGTTGATTCGTTGATTCTTAATCTATGCAAAGAAACCTCCTGGTACGTCAAATCTATTGAGATATGTGCATGACATATCCATATTCAAGTAAATATATTAATAGTGGTTTGCCCTTGAACTGACGGCATGTGATTCATTCAGGTTAAGGTACGCAACTTAATCTTGTATAATAGAGCTGAAAACTATATTTCATTAATAAAAGATATACAAAACAGTGTACGAAAACATGCTATGCTAGATATCTCTTAGATTTCAATTCTTGCATTCTCTTTCCAGTATTTCGAAACAGATCTGTTTGCCGGAAATGATGATCGTGGTGAGATGTCTGACCAGACCAGGGTATATCTGAGATGTAAACGCGGTATCAAGGCCGGTTCAACCCAAGTAGGATCGTTTACAACTTAAATGTAGGTACCTTCGAAAAGGAGAATACCATGATATCAAAATACTCCAAACTTGATAAGAACAAAGTTTTATCGTCAGATTTTTTATATTATCATTGAGAGGAATTTGATTTTTTTATTACATGTTTTAATCCTTTGTAGCATGTTCAAAATTTTCGTTAAATTTCTTGCTTTTAGTGTCATTTTTTGGCGTTAAAAACATGGTGTTGTGGAAACTCTTCCGAAAATGAAATAATTTTCGATTTTCAATGAAATTTGAAGTATTTATTCAGAAGTAAAGGGAAATTATTTTGAATTATACTTTTAAAAAATCTTGGTAAAAAAATATTTTTCTTTTACATTTGTTACCCCGATTTAGTTAATTTTATGAAATTCCGTGGAATTAAAATTTCACTCTCTTCATGTTTATATTACGTATAAACAGAATTTCTTGGAGAATTAATGCATCGTTTTTTTATCTATAGTCAAACAGAAACATCATTTACTGAAAATCTCCTCTAAAATTAAAAAAATGCAATAAAACTATGAAATTATTTACCAAGAGAAGCATTTATTTGCTTTTATAAATAAGATATATTAAGAACATTATTGTCTTAAGAAATATTTTTTCCGTTCAATAATGAAATTTGTCAATAACACTTTTCATTTTTAAAACTTCTAAGTTTTAAATCTTTGAAAATTCTGTATATAATTAACGAAAAACTATATTTATTGATCATAAAGGGAAAATCTTAATATAAATCATCAAGCACCAATATTTTTTTTAAAGAATTTAATTTTTTTTTATGTGTATCAACGTGCCGATTTTTGTATGTACGGTAGACCATACACAACATTATCAAACATAGCGATAACGATAGTAAATTTAAAGTAAACCTTTCTAAAATTCAAGAAAACATGAGATTGCGTAGGATAATTTCCTTGTAAGATTACTGAATACTTAAATTTATATAAAAAAGGCGCTCATTCTTAAATTGTGTCTAACAGATGAAGCCTCCGTAGAACAACATTAGACCTGTTATCAGGTTGTCAAATACATCAAAACAGTTACAACCACGAGGCTATAATGAAGGCCAGGATCTTGTCAATATTCTGCCCTTCATTATAGCCTCGACGTTCTTTATTATTATTAAAGACTTTTCATTGGACGATAGTTTACTAATCCTCGTGCAAACGGTAGTGAGTATTTGTCTTCGTTTTGCACTTGGGTGGTTAGAACCGATATTAATATAGTTGAGGGTTTCGTCCTCTTTATGGTAAGGTTTAAAGCTTTCGTCATTAAGGTTAAGGGTGATATTTAGGTAGTCAACTATTTTAAGGTTAAAAGAAATCTCGATCTTAAACACTAGGAATTTGAAGGCCCTGATAATTTTCTTTTGTCATTTCGCTGTTAGTGGACCATTAATATTAGGGATGAGGATAAGTCCCTCATCCTGATGCAGCCTTATTAAATGTAAAAACATACTAAATCTGCAATTTTTGCTGAGTAATCCACTCCCACGGGGACATCGAATACGTCATTGTGTTGCTTAGTCCAGGTGGAATTATTCATTGTTAGTAGTAAATTTCTTGTCGTTAATTTAATGATTTTAAGCGGTTTACTAGACTGGCATCTCGCTCACATCCTTTCACTGTCGAAACTGTTAAATGTAGCCGTCTCTTCTACTCCAATAGCTTCATGTCTCGCATCTCTCGCCTGTAGAACTCCCTCTCCTTATCATATTTCCATGATAGCTATAATCTCCATCTATTCAAATGTAATGTCAATCGACGTCTCCAGATGCCTTGATCTATCCCCTATCCTTCTCTTCATCCTTTTCTCTATCACTGCTCTCGCTCCAACTCTCTGTAACCCCTTACGTGCTAGTGGCTTCCCGCCTTGCTTGAGGTGAAACGCTTAAAAAAAAAGATCATATTAGTTTCACCATCCATTATTTCTATATAGTTCTTTGCAAAGTTGATACTATTGACCAGGAGGTCCCTAGTGACAGAGGAATAGAAGTCAATTATATAAAAATTAATGAAGATACCTTACGCTCACACCAATCACTAACACAAACATACTCTCATTAACACGGCGTCTACGACAGGAGGAATGACAATTAATACAAATTTAATGTCCGCGAGAGACACTTACAGACTGATGATAGCCGCATACAGAACGACTTGAGCTAGACTATATCTATGTTGAAGCATATTTTTTTGCTGTAAAAATACCTATGCTCTGTTAAAATAAAATAAAAATCAAGCTATCTGTGGATCAGATTTAATAATTAATATTACTAGGATCACCCCGGATTATATACCAACGAATCGATTACCTGTACTATATATATATATATATATATATATATATATATATATATATATATATATATATATATATATATATATTCATATATAGTTACTCAATTAGCGTTTGTTAAAATTTTTTAAGTATGTAATGTATAAAATATAATTAATGTAATTCATAAGTAATGTCATTAATGTGAATCATATGCAAAATTGCAAGAATACATTTTAAAAGTTTATTCAAAATCCACAAAGAAAATGGATTTGTGAAAATCGAAACATTCTTATAACTTCATTTTGTAAGGCTCAGTATGATTTCAGAAAATTTATATAAATTTATTTTCCAATTTAAACGTTCGCTTTTGTCATCATGATGAAAAACTAATGAAAAGCCAGAAAACGTCGTTAATTGAGGCT